GAAGAGGGAGGCAGCTGGCTCACCTGTGTAGTACAGAACCCTCAGCTCTGGGGAGACTTGAGCCGGAAGAAATGGAGCGGACCAGCGAACGGTTGCAGCGAATTGAAGAAGCATGGAGGAGGAGGAGGAGGAGCGCACATGAGGGTTTGCTTCCAGTCCGACGTGGCAGGTGGAGGAAAGGAGTTATCCGCACTTCCTGCGAGAAGGATGGGATTGAGCGGGATCGATCACACTAGAGGAAGACTCACTCATTGCCGGGCTCTGGACCTCCTGGGAAGTTTTCCTAGAGGCCAAGGATTACAAAGAGAAGGAAAAAATTGAACGAGAAGGCACATGGATTCTGATTTCGGGGTTCTGACTGAGTTATTGACGGTTTCAGCGAGGTCGCTCTGCGAGGAAGAGAAGCTCTAGTCAGGTGGATCGCTGCCCCGATCATCAACATTGACGTCGTCGTTGTCATCACCACCACCACCATCGTCATCGTCAAAATCATCTTCATCAGCATCTCAATCATCTCCAGCAGCAGCATCGCCATGACACCGATAGCTATGCACACAAAGTCCTTGCCTCAATGTGCAACTTTGGTCTTGACAGCGAAGCAATCTCAGGCCGAGTCCCAGCCTTGATGTTTGCATCTACAAGCACTGACGATCTGAAACATTTCAACGTCAATGCCTCAATTTTCACACCAGATGAAATAAATTTCTGCATCTTCTCATGAAAATCAGCCACCAGCTTCCTCCTTGACTTACTTTCTCCTGACTGGAGCGATCGGAGGAATTTCGACATTTCCGAGTGCGACTTCCTTTGCCAACGCAACCCACTGCACCGACGATGAGAGGGGGGAGGAAGGAAGAGACTTCTTGCCTTCTCGTAGGTCTTCTTGAGCTCTTTGATCGTATCCGACGTGATCTTGCTCTTGAAGAAACAAGATTTCTTGAACTGTTGGCAGGGGAACAGAGTGAGATCGCGGGCTCAAGAGAGAAAGCGTGATGTAATAGAATGGAATCACAGGGAGAAATGGGATGGAAGGCGGTTGAAGAATAAGGAGAGGAGAGGGGAGGGGAGGAGATGAGAAGAGAGGAGGAGCAGGCCAAGATAAGGTAAGATAGGGAATAGAGAAGACAAGAAGGGAATAGAGAACAGGTCGGATAGGAAGGGGGCAAAAATCTTGACCTTGACGTTACCCCTGACCGTCATCTCGACCTCTTTCGCCTTTCCTGTACTCAGATGTTCATCCCTTCCATCCATCACATCTGTCAACTCACCGCTGTTCCGCACGTCCCATCGCATGCAGACCTGACAAGACAAGTTAGTCTTCTTTCATAGGGTAGTGCTTCATGATGCATTCCGCTCCTCTCCGCTCATCTCTCTGCCCTGTCCGCCTCTTCCCGCATGATTTATCTCCCAGCTCCCTCACACAACAGCAAGAATCTCGGTTGCTCTCATCAACACATCATAACATAACACGTTGTGTCTTACGTCGAAACAATCTCCGTAAGGAATCTCCAACATCGACGCCGAGGTCTGATGATGCAAGCACAGTCAAGATCCGCTTCACACACAACAACCTTCCATCACCTCGAGAACAAAACTTGCTGGTTCCTTGACCAGCCTACACGTCTGCATCTCTCGAACTCTTGTCGTCTTCTTGGTCACGAACGAGGGCAGAGAAGTATTGATCGGAGATGTGTACTGAGTCGCAAACGATCACAACATGCCGCCATGAAACAAGGAGATCAACCTGCACTTCTCTCGCGTAGCTGCTGTTTGCACTGTGAAACCATTTTCAAAATCTTCAAATTGTGCCATCATCTCATGCACAAGAACCTGTTCAGCTTGTTCCAATCTGACACCTTGACATCTGTGTCTCCTCTATTCTTGTGCATCTGCCGTCTAACAGCGGGAAAGGTGAGAACAGAAAGACAGAAATATACTCCAGATCACCCGAATCCTGTTGACTGGGAGAAAAATAAACGATAGAATTCCACGACATCACAGGCTATCAGCGTTGTCTCAACTATCACTGCAGAAATGTCAACGCAACTCGGAGCTTGTGCCGGAGAACATGCCGGCGGGGTAGGCAGATTCATCTAAAGTCTCGTCGAGATCGGCTGATGGAACAGGACAGTCAGAGGGGGGAAGAGGTGGACGGAAAGGACGAAGACAAAGAGGAGGAGAGGAAGAGGAAGAGGGAGCGAGGGAGTAATTGAGCGAGCAGAACCTGAAGTCTTCTTGGGTGGATGTGAGAGACCTTCCAAGACCTGTTTGCGAACAATAAAAGTTACCCACGTTGTGATGATATAATCGTATCTCAGTCTCTGCCTTCATATCGACAACCATGACGTCAAACAACGTTAAAAGCTATCATCGTAATCTTCATCCTAATCATCTCTTCCGAAGCCGTTCTCTTACAATATCTTCGTCAATTTCAGGCACGGAGTCTCCTGCTGAGCCTTCTTTGATCAACATGCCTTGCACTGGAAGGGCAGGACGGTCAAAGGTGACGGATGAAGGAGTGACGAACATCCGACATACCTTTCTCTCCTGGGCTCATGTTGGGCACTTCTGGTACAAGAGTTTGCGGTAGAGCCTCAGCCTGCTCGGCTCTCTCGCATACACTGGAGCTGTCTGGCCACTCTGACTCAGGTCCTTCGGGGTCGTCCTCCTCCTCCTCCTGTAGGAAAATAAGAACCTCCTCCACCTCCTTCTCGTCACATCATCATCATCATCATCATCATCATCGTCATCATAGTCATCGTCATCGTCAACTCCTCATCATGTCAAACTCCTCCTCCTCCTCCTCATCTACTTCTCCAAGCTGTTGGTCCGTAGTCGACTCCAAGGCCCGAGAGATTCCCTGATGCTCATCTCAGCATTGTCTCACTTCGCTCCTCCTCGTTCTACCTTGGAGATCGCCCAGAAATTGCTCAGACCCTTGTACGCCTCTCTGTTACACGACAGGGATAAGAGGCAATGAGTTGTTGCGGAATCTGAAAGGACCTCCGGAACAAGAAAGAAGTGAAGAGATATTTGTTGTCTGTGACTGTAATCTCGATGGCATTGGGAATGATGTAGGCAGTCTGTCCATATGATCACAATCGTGCAAAGTAGCGCCCATCGCTCCCTTCCGTCTCACGCACCTTTGCTTTTCTGATATCAGTGATTTCACTGTACGGGATGACAATGCTGAAGTCGAAATACTCTCAGATCTGATCTTCAACATCTCTGCCTGCTCACCTCCGCACGCTACCCAGTAGATCACAAGCAAAGCAGACGTGTCTTGGAAAGAGATACATTCGACCCTTGTAGGATTGTCAAAGAAACTTTTCGCGATTTCCAACGGTCATGGCGCTGAAAACCTGAAGGAGGATCATTTCCTGCAGAGCGCAAGCGTAGTCCTCGATGAGAAGCTCAGAGGAAGGCAAGTTGAATCTGAAGTTTGCAATGAACATCACATCTATCACAACACAAGATCATGACAAACCTTCTGTGGAGAGGGTCCCTAACTTCTTCTTCTTCGACAGGAGGATAGAAGGAAATATCCTGCCAGGCACAACAACGTGAACACAACAAACAGGTTTGTTTGCTATGATTGAGATTGTTCCAATCACCTTCTTCATCAACTTATCAAACCATGACCGCTCATTTCCTCGCTCTGTTCCAGGGTGGTTCGTTAATGAGCAATTGCTTCACTGCATTTCCTTCATGTAGTACCGAGTTGTTGGAGCTGTATGGAAATATAAGATGGAGCACGAAGAGCAGGAGATCATCGGTGACATACCTCATCAGTCGATAAGATGTCACTCTCTATCGATCTCGACGGCGTCTGTTGTCTCTTATCAGAAGACCTCCTTCCATTCCTACAAGCACCGCATCAGGCCGGAGCTTGGGGCTGAACACTTCTTTGGACGGAGATCCGTAGATCCTGGCATAGGTAAGCAATGACAGCAGCCGCACATGTGCCTGTCGATCCACCGGCTCCCTTCAATGCTCCTGCTCCTGGTGGGCGTCTGCTCTCCTTTGGTTTCTTGCTCATCATACGGCAAGAGTACTGGTAGACAAGTTACCAGTGGAACCAGATGATAGCCGAGCCTCACCCTCTTTCGAATCCATTGACATTGACATAGAGAGAGATGCTGATTGTGTCGTCTGTTCAGACAAGCTTAGAGAATAGGTGGCTGTTGTTATCGCAGAAATACCATATGGTAATGAACACTTGCACACCCACTCCAAGGATTTCGTTGGGCCCAGCTCCTGCTAATCTTCGCAGTGAATCATGGTAAACGAGTGCATTCCCCCCCTCTCAATCGCTCATCCGGTGATTTGAGCATTGTCTGCCCAAGATTCCTCCACCATCATCAAAATTGTTCTGTTGACAGTGCAAACTTGCTATACCTTTACTCTGCATCCTGGATCGAAGGCTTCATCTTCTCTTCATGATATAGGAAGAAATATCTTTGACTCTTCTTCTAGCATCGATCCTTCTACTTGAACACTCTAATTTCTCCATTGCCCCCAACCCTTCGCTGCGGCTTTCCCTCCGGCTCTCGCCATGCTATTATGACTATCGACCTTGCCCCCTTCTTCCCCTACAACACCCACCCCTGAACACAATTTCCCCTCTGATTTCAAATATGTCTCTTTATTTTGAGTATTCACCATGAATTTATCAGACAGTGCATAGTATCTTTGAACCAAAATTTCCAATTTTGAGTACCCACCATGAATTACTGAGATATTTACATACCCCACTTTCAAGATCCGTTCATGGGTGAATGGCTGGGTGGGGTGTTCAGACATTGGGTAAAATAGACCCTGTAATGTGATGGTAATATAGGGGGTGGGGGGTGATAATCAAGAAAAAAGTCTGCCTCAGGATTTTCATTAGGAATTGTAAAAGGCAGCTCTGGAATAGGCAATAGGTGGGGGTGATGCATTATGTACCGGTGGTCATGAAAGAGCCACGGTAGGGGTGGAGAAACATCGGCTTGTAGTTGTTGAATTCTCAAAGGGGTGGGTACCAAGTCGAACAGGGTGGTAATGTTCGAACTTTGATTGTCCACACCGGGGTGTCGTTACCATAAATGACCTAAATTGTAGGGGTATATAAAATTTGAGAAGGGGTACCTGACAACAAGTGGGGGTGGACGATTTGAAGCGGTCCATACCGTGGGTAGTGAAAATTATCGTGCATAGAAACAGGGTAGGGGTTAAAATCATGAGGGGTAGGGTCTGAATGGGGTAGGGTAGTAAAAAAAAAACAAAGCACACGCGCACGCATCGGCGGGAGCAGCAATGGTGAGGCTACGCATGATGAGCGGGGAGAGGAGGGGAGGAGAGACGTATGAGATGAATGATGATGTGAGAGAATGATTTCATGAAGTGTTGCAAGAGAATCTGTGATGATGCATATCAAGATAACTCGTTCAAGCGTTCAGAGAGACGGAAACTGTACTCACTGTTCGATTGACACTGCTATGGCTCCCTTTGAATGTTCTGTCCCTGTTACACTGTTGCGAGTTTCCATCTTATACGTCGGATCGGAGGACTGAATAGTGTAAAAGAACTTTTGTTGAGGATAGTATGACTGAACGAAGTTGGCTTTGTTGTGTTGCTGACAAATGGCAAGTGGATTGCTTTCGTGTCGGAATGTTTTTCAGTCAGAGCATTACACGGGTCGGTTGTATTTGGTCTGTGAGAAGGAATGAGAAAATCAAAGCGTATCAGAGCATTACACGGGTCGGTTGTTGTATGTGGTCTGTGAGAAGGAATGAGGAAAACACAGCGTATCGCTGCATTCCTTTCTGTATAGTTGGTAGCAGATCTGTTGTCACAGTGTACGAGATACATGTTTCATGTTGGATGTGTGTGTCGTTTCGCGCAGACTGTTTCAACGCTGACTTCTTTATTTTAGTCTGACGAGAACAGAAGATTGGTCGAGGCCGGACGCGTCTGCTTGGTGAACTACGGTCCTCTTGTCGGGAAGCTTGTCGTGATCGTCACCATTGTTGACGGTGATCCTCGCATGTTCAACTTTGCAGCGCTGACTTTCAACTAGGCAAGGTTGCCCTCGTCGATGGACCGTCTGCCACCAACCCTGTCAAGAGACAGCTGATGCCTTTGAAGCGCCTTTCCATCACTCCCATCAAGTGCAGCATCCCCGCTGGTGCTCGTGTCAAGACCTTGGAGAAGGCCTACAAGGACGCTGAAGTCGAGAAGAAGTGGGCGGAGAGTAGCTGGGCTAAGACTATCGCGCGCAAGGCTGCCAAGGCCAAGTTGTCCGACTTCGATCGCTTCAAGGTTATGGTTGCTCGCAAAACTGTAAGTTCGTTGATGTCTGATGGAGCTGTGAGGTCTGACTTGATTTTCTCAGCGTGCTCGCGTTGTGAATAAGGCTATCAAGGCCATGAAGAAGTAAATCGTGCCTCAGAATAAACAAGGAAACAAAGCTGTTCACGCGAATGACGTGGGTGTGAACAGTGAAAGTTTCACACGCTTGTTCGATCGTTAGGCATTTGTGCGTGAAGGATAGAAAAGATGGAAAGTTTGGTTGCAGCGCTGAAAGGATGTCATGAAATGAAACAAGCAGCGCATGATAGTGTGTCAGATCCTGAGTGCCGATGCAACATATAGGTCAAGAGCATTCTCCTTTTCTCATCGCTTGTACGTTCTGTAGTTGCGAGCGATTAGTTCTGTATTCGCCAAGTCCATCTCGCAGCAACAATTCCTTTGAGGTCTGCATAGATCCTGCTGTAACATACATCTACGCCCGATACTCTTCACAGCAGCAGGTTCACACGATAGATTCAGTTCCTTCACACCTCTCAAACAACTCGTGTGTACAACTGACACGACAAGTTTCTGTTCACTCCACATACAGCTCATACAACTCTACTCACATCTACGTGCTACAACATCCCTCTGACGTCCCATGTGCATTGATACATCGCCATGACAGCCATTCGTCGCACAACAGGGCCATGAGTGCATGGACTGGTCACACACCACCCCCGATGTGGCTTGTCATCGTGAAGGGGGGTGGGGTGGAATATTGGAGGGGTGCCTGTTACTTTATAAATAAGGGTGGGTGGTGATGCTCGTCATACCTGTTCCATGGCAGCAGGGTGGAGATCGCGGATCAGGAGGGAGGAGAGAGCAGGGGAGTGAGGAGGAGGAGGAGGAGGAGAGGAGGAGGAGAAGAGATAGGATGGGATCAAAGACAGATGGGTGCAGTGCAGGGAGAAGAGAGGGAGGGAGGACATCTGTAGAGAATGTGAGTGTAAATGTGTCGATCCTCCATTGAGTGTGGAGCGTTTCAAGATAGAGAGTGAGAGTGGAAGTGAGGGTGATAGTTGAGAGGACACGTACACGATGGACTGGGCACATCTAGCGGGAGCTGGAGGATGGAACAAGCTGTTCGATCGCTACTACAGGAAGCAGGAAATCTACGAGATGAGTTGGAGCGACGTGGACCTCTCCAAGATGATCGTGGCAGGATCGCCATTTGCTGGTCCCTTCGGTGAGCACTGCTATGCGCAAACCGTCGCCATGACTGTGGTATGCAGCCATGCTCCGAGATGACAAGAAAATCTCCCTCATCTCTGCCGGATCGCTAAGGCCGACCCTCAACATCTACAGCTCCTCAGGATCGCTACTTGCTTCCATCCCGGTGACTGAGAGGACGCGTCTGATGCTTGTACTGACATGGTGAGAAGGCGCAATGGAAGACGGGGCGGGTAGTGGAGATGGGCTGGACGTCGGACGAGAAGCTCATAGTGGTGCTAGACGATGGGACTGTGATGCAGTTCTCGGCTGTTGGGCGACTCATCCAGACTTTCAGCATGGGGGAGGAGTTCAGGACCGACCGTGTGCTGCTCTGCTGCATTTGGGGATCGGGAGTCGTTTGCCTTTCTCGCTCGCATTCTCTCGTCTTCGTGGACAACTTCGAGGAGCCGATCCCAAGGCGAATGCCGAGGCTGGGGGACATCGCGAGCAGCCCGACGTGCATGGTGATCATAGAGCCGTCGATGACGCAGTCGAAGGGGCTGGAGGTGCTGCTGGCAGTGGACAAGACGATCCTGGTGGTTGACATGACGGGGGTGGAGGATCAGAAGCTGACGGCAGGCCCGATCCGCCGGATGAGTGTCTGCCCCAACGGCAAGATGCTTGCTGCTTCACGCACGATGGGTTTGTGTGGGTGATCACGACAGACTTCAGCAAGAATCTGTCAGAGTTCCCGACCAAGAGCCAGGTGCCTCCGCTGCAGCTGGTCTGGTGCGGCACAGACTCCGTGGTGCTCTACTGGGACAAGATCGTGCTCATGATCGGACCGTACGGGGACTGGGTGAAATACGCCTACGACGAGGCCGTGTTCCTCCTCCCGGAGATGGACGGAGTGAGGATCATCTCCTCCTCCCGCTGCGAGTTCCTCCATCGCGTCCCTGACAGCGTCGTTGACATCTTCAAGATCGGCTCCTGCACCCCAGGCGCCATTCTCTTCGACGCCCTGGAGCTGCTGGAGAAGAACGACGCGAAGGCGGACGAGAACATAAGGGGGATCCGAGACTCGCTGCCAGAGGCGATCTCCGTGTGCCTTGATGCCGCCTCGCACGAGTTCAGCGTCGAGCTGCAGAAGCAGCTGCTCAAGGCAGCCAGCTACGGCTCCTGCTTCCTTGAGGCGCACAGGCCGACCAGGATGGTGAACGTGCTCTCTTCTCTCCGCATGCTCAACATGATCCGAGAGCCCCGTGTTGGCCTCCCCCTCACCTTCCCCCAGCTGCAGAGCCTCTCCCCGCAGACCCTCGTGCTCCGGCTGGCACAGCGGCAGCAGCACTACCTTGCGCTGCAGATCTGCGAGCACATGGGGTTGAAGAAGACTGAGGTCCTCGTCCACTGGGCATGCGAGATGATCCGAAGAGGAGGAGACTTGACGGACAAGGAGCTCTACGACGCGATCCTCGCACGGCTCCCCTCTTCTGGGCACATCTCCCTGGCGGAGGTGGCGGCGACGGCATACGCAGAGCAGAGGACGGAGCTGGCCAACCTGCTGCTGGACAACGAGCCCAAGGCAGGGGAGCAGGTGCCGCTGCTGATCAGCATGAAGGAGGAGAAGCGAGCGCTGGTGAAGGCGCTGGAGAGCGGCGATCCTGACCTCGTCTTCCTCGCAATGCTCCACATGCAGAAGTCCAAGACTACGTCGGACTTCTTCCAGGTTGCTGCTGGTTCAGGAGGGCGCTGGGGCGGGAGAGGAGGGAGGAGGGAGGAGAGAGGAGGGAAGAGGGAATGGGAGTTCAGGAAGTGACTGGATAGTAGAAGAGAAGACAGGCCGGAAGAGGGGAGAAGAGGGGAGGGGAGAGGAGAGGATTGAAGTGGGAGGGGGAGGGAGAGGAGAGAAGAAGAGCTGAGATGTGATCGTAATGCTTGTGTTTTCTCAGAGTGTCCTTCGTCATCAGACGGCCAAAGATCTCATGCTGCTGTACAGCAAACAGCAGGATCACACCCTCCTACGACAGCTCTGCCAGGCCATGGAAGCGCCGCATGAAGCTGGGAGCCAGCTGCTGTTGGAGTCTTTCAAGGCGCCGGATGTGACGAGGAGGAGAAAAGGGATGGAGCTGGCGATGTCTCTCTTCTCACAGAGCAAGGATGAATCAGCCAAGCTCATGGCAAAGGTCAGAGATGCCTGCTCTCCTCCTCTCTGCTCTCCTCCTCTCCCCTCTGCTCTGCTCTGCTCTGCTCTCCTCCTGTCCTGTCCTGTCCTGTCCTGTCCTCTCGTCTCCTCTCCTCTGTTCCCCTCGCTTTATATGTTTCCATCCCTGCTAGCCTGACCACGTTGAGCAGCACACGGAGGAGCAGATTCGACTGCAGGAGGCTCAGCTCGAGTTGGAGCAGGCGACCGGAAGATCCGTCTTTTTCGACACATCAGCTAGCGAGACGGTGAGCAGGAGCTGGAGGGGGAAGGACGGGAAGTATGGATGCCAGGAAAAGCCGAAAGAGGAGGAGGAGGAGGAGGAGAGGAGGAAGAGAGAGGGGAAGGGGAATAATTGGGGGCAGGGTCAAAGGTGAGGACGGGGGTGGGGGATAGGGAGGTGTAGTAGGAGCAGAAGTAGCAATGGGTGGGGTGGGCAGGAGGAGGAGGAGGAGGAGGAGGAGGAGGAGGAGGAGGAGGAGGAGGAGGAGGAGGAGGAGGAGGAGGAGGAGGAGGAGGAGGAGGAGGAGGAGCGAGCAGCAGGTGAATGCGGCGCAGGTTCGCCTCTGCTTCGTCTACAACCAGCACAGCAGGGGGCTGAGGATAGCCAAGGACATGAAGTTCTCGGAAAAGCTCCTATGGAGCCTCAAGGTCGGAAGAATGCTCCGCTCCCCTCTCCCTACTCTCCACTCTCCTCTCTCCTCCTTCTCCACCACCTCCACCACCTCCACCACCTCCCCCTCCCCCTCCCTCTCCCCCTCCTCCATTTCCTTCTCTCTTATCCTCCTTGTCATCCTCGTGTTCTGCTGATCTCTCAAGTCCTTGCAGGTCAGCGGCCTGGCAGAAGGACACGACTGGAAAGAGCTCGAGAAATTCTCGAAAGAGCGGAAGACGGTGAGGATGGAGAAGAAGAGGGACGAGGAGGACAAGAGCTGGAGGGAGCTGAAGGAGAACAGCAAAAGATGGGAAGAGGAGGATCAGAATGCGGACAAGGAGGAAGATCGTGGAGGAGTATAAGGAAGGGGAACATGAACGAAGACGAGGACGAGGAAAGAGGAGACGGGGTGGTGGTGGTGGTGGTGGAGGTGGAGGAGGAGGAGGAGGAGGAGGATTGACGCTGTCCTGCAGCCCCCCATTGGGTTTGAGCTGTTCGTGGAAGCTTGCATCCGAGAGAATCGATTTGACGAGGGGATGAAGTACGCGATGAAGATGACGGACATGGCAAGGAAGAGCGAGCTCTGTGTGAGGATGGGAATGCTCAGGGAGGCAGCCGAAGCTGCCGTGCAAGCAAGGTCTCCTCCGTCCTCTCCGTCCTCTCCTTCCCTCCCTCCTCTCCCTCTCTCCCTCCCCTTCCTCCTCCCATCTCTTCTTCACTGGTTCTCCTTTTTTGTCGTCCTTTTCCTGCAACTTGCACTTCCTGCTCAGGCTCCTGCTCCTGCTCCTGCTCTTGCTCCTCCTGCTCCTGCTCCTGCTCCTCCTGCTCCTGCTCATCTCCCAGCAGGGATCGAGACATGCTCCTGAGCGTAAGGTCAAAGTGTACGAACCCTTCAGACATGGCGATCATCGACAACCTCGTGGCTCATTCAGGTTTGTGAGAAGAGAAGAAGGAAAAGACATCGAGAAGATATCAACATCAAGACAAGGAAGATATCAACAAGACGCGGAAGATATCAAGAATTGTTGGAATGCAAGACGGGACATGCAGACAGTACAGAGAGGAAGAGTGAAGGAGTTTGCAAAGAAGAAAATGATCATTGGATTGCTTCGTCTATCTGTGCTGCACTCTCGAACCATTCTGCAACTCCTTAGATCTTTCCTGATCGAATCGCATGACCACGAAGTTTCCGCGATTTGCTTCAATAAATTCTTTAGAGTTACCGAGTGTAAGTACAGGAGGAAGAGGACTGAGGGAGAGAAGATGAGTAGTAGGAAGGAGAAGGTGGAGGAGTAGGACAAAGAAGTAAAGGGATATTTTTCAACTCCACGTCACGAAGAGCTGCCAGAACGAGAGTCATTGCGCTGGACTTGCACAACAAGAGACTTCTGTCGCTTACCTTGAGCGTGTGTATGATTTTGCTTTGTTCCTCAGTGAGGTGAACAATTGCTATCTGCAAGCATGTCAGCTCGTCCTCGTCCTCGTCCTCGTCCTTCACCTCCTCGTGCTCCTTGTCCATCTTCTTGATGCGAACGATGATAGGAGACTGCCCATGTCGTTAGAGGAGGAGGAAACATGGGGGAGGGGGCAAGAGCGAACGAGACGCTAGGAGACCTTTTCTTGAGGAGCGATGTTCAACCTTGTCTCTTTGAAGGGATCCAAAAACTGAAAAGAGCGTGAGAAACAGAAAAGGATGATGATGATGATGACGACGACGACGACGACAATCATGATGATGATGATGATGATGATGATGATGATGATGATGATGATGATGATGATGATGATGATGATGACTGTGCAGACTAAAACAAGGTTATCATCTGATCACCTCACAGTCGGAGGAAATGACGAAAGAAACTTCACGGTCGTAGAAGTTGGTGAAATAAATCTTCTTCTTGTGGATCTTCTTGTCTACTTCACTCACAGGAACTTTGATGCGGAAAGCCTTGACGGGAGGCTGCAGAAGTGATGAGGAGAGGAGAGGAGAGGAGAGGAGAGGAGAGGAGAGGAGAGGAGAGGAGAGGAGAGGAGAGGAGAGGAGAGGAGAGGAGAGGAGAGGAGAGGAGAGGGAAGAGAGGAGATAACCTCAGTAACAAGATCAACTTCAAGCTCGCGATCTTCTTCGGCGCAAAGAACTTCAAGACATCTCTGCGAGAGACAGATTGAGGAGAGACAAGAGAGAAACATGAAGGAGGGAGGAGGAGGGAGGAGGGAGGAGGGAGGAGGGAGGAGGGAGGAGGGAGGAGGGAGGAGGGATCAACAAATCAAAGGTGCATAGCAGGTCCCTCACCCTCCACTCCTCCTCGTTGCGCGAGTAGTCAAGCTTTGAGTTTTCTCTTGGGTCGACGTACTTGAGGCCGACGAGCTAGTCGAGTCACGTCAGATGTCGCAGCCGATTGACTGCCTCCCTCCCTCACCTGATGCAGGTCAAACTTTGACTGAAGGAGCGACAGCATCTGTTTCCACGTTGTGTCCTGCGGCGAAGAAGGCGGTCAGTGGGAGGAGGCGAATGGAGCACATGCAGGAAAGGGGGGGGGGGGAGGAGGAGGATGAAAGAAGAGTGGAGGGGAGAGGAAGGGGATGGAGGAGATCGAGCTCCTCTCCCTTCAGTTTTTACCTTCTGGATTTCGACAATTCCCAAGCTCTTGTCGCCTCCATCAAAGACAACCAATCTGTAGAGATCTACAAGAAACCATGTCATAACAAGGATGATCATCATCACCGCCATCGTCGTCGTCATCGTCATCTTCATCGTCATCATCGTACCCGAAGAGAAAAGATTGTCATTATCGCGGTCTTCTGCTTCGTTCATCTCCTTGAGTCTGGTCAGCCTATCTCGCGATTCATCCGTATCATCTTCCAGCAGCTTCTGCTCCTTCTCCTCCTTCGCGTGAGGATACAGAGGAGGAGGAGAGGACTCAGGCGCGTCAAGCACGGGCATCGGCCCTTTGAGAGGAGGAAGGTGCTTCGGAGGTTTCACATGCTCCTCTGGCAGCATACCAGGGACATGACTTGGCTCCTCTCCTCCCTCTCCCTCTCCTCGCAGCTGCGCAGGACTCCTCGCCTCTCTCCCTCCCTTGCTGACGGGAACAGTGGCGACGTAGGGGAGGACGAACTTCTTGAAGCGAGGAAGGTCGATGCTGCCGGTCCCATCCTCCGCCTCGTACATGATCCTGCTGATCTCCTCGTTGGAGAACCCGAACTTGCTCATCGCCATGTCCAGCTCCTCCTCCGAGATCGACCCGTTCCCGTCCGCATCGAACTGCTTGAAGAGCGCCAGCGCCATCGCCTCCTCCTCCTTCCCCGCCGTCTTCTGAGTCAGAAGGGGAACGATCGCCTCCCTGAACCGCTCGAAGCTCAGCTCATCCTCCTCCTCGCTCCCTGCTGAGAACACTCGGAACAGGATCTCCTCAATCTCAGCAGAGGAGAAGCCGAAGGCGGCGAGGCCGAGCTCGAGCTCCATGTGGGAGATAGCCTTGTTCCCGTCCTTGTCCATCATCACGAACAGAGTCTTCGCCTCCCTCTCCCGCTCTGCATCTCCTCCTCCTCCCACGTCAGAACCACCGATCACGCACAGCACAGACTCTCACCAGTGACGATGGAGAGGTGGTCCTCTTGGGGGTCCTGGTGGATGCGATTCTCCTTTCCTCCCCATTCGCAGCACTTCCCGTTGAAGACGCTCTTGTACAGAAAGAGGAGAACGAGGAAAAGCACAGTGAAACCGCCGACGGCAACCAAGACAACCATGATGAGGAACGCTGTTCTGCCAGTAGAGGCAGGAGGAGAGGGAGTCTGCAGAGACGTCAGCCACACTCGGCATGAGAAAGGAGGAGCTGGTCCGGCACCTGAAAACTTTCAGCCTTGACGTCGACTGACGACACTACGGCCTTGGTAAGGCCAGCGCTGCCTCGTCGTCAGCCCATGAACTACTCGCGAGAGAAGTTCACCTTTGTAACTGGGAGGTCAACGCGTCCTTGGTGAGGGATTGTGAAAACTTGTTGGTGTCCTGTTGGCTGCGGTCATTGCAAAGAAGTTTGCAAGGCGGGGAGAAGCAGAAGTGAACAGGGAAAAGGGAGAAGAAGACAAACAGACAAGACCGACAAAGTAAGAAGTAGGCAACAACAAGTGTTTTCACCTCGCCACTCAAAACGTCAAGGACGAAGGAAACTTTAATCCCCGTTGCTCGGAGATAGAGATGATGAAAACGATCGGTCGACCCTGAGCAGGAACACATCAGCGAAAACTGCGACTTCCCACCATCAAACGTTTCACCTGCCCTCCTCCTCTTCCTCCTTCTTGCCGTCGACACCTGCACGTCCTTGATCCTCGACTTGTCCACTCCCAGCACCTTGGAAACAGCTGGAGCAGGGAAGGGGTGACTAGTCTCGAGATGTTAAGGAGGCATGTTACCGTCGATGTACATGTTGATCTCAGTCTTCCCGAACGTGTCGACAGTGTATCCTGCGAGGAGGAAAGGAAAGTCACATTTCCGTACGGCAGCGGGAAGGGTCTTTCACCTTCAATGACAGTTGAGATGGCCAAAGTTGAGATGACGGGCTGAGAAAAACGAGGGAATGAGGGTGAGGAAAGGAAGGACGGAAAACAGGAGGAAGCCCAAGAGAAAGCAGGAAGGAGACAGGAGAGGAGGCTGGAAGACCTGATTTGTGGATGGAGGAGGAGGTGGTGGTGGAGAGGGTGGTGGTGGAGGGGGTGGTGGTGGAGTTTGATAGACTGAAGATTGATGTCAGGCAATATGGTGCAATAAATTTGAGGTCTGATACCAGTCGTCGTCAGGTTCATCTGAGCAGTTTCAAAGGTTGCACTTGTCTCAGCAAAGACTGTTGTCGTTGAAGACTCTGTGTTCTCCTCGCTCGTCCATGACAGCGACATGCTCGTCTGAAAGACTTGCAAGCCTGTGCTTGTCTTCTCCCCAGCTGAGGTCGTAATGACATAAGTTGCACTTGTCTTGTTGTTTGCAGAGTTGAGAGGAGGAGTGGTAGAGACTGGTGTAGAGGTAGAGACTGGTGTAGAAGTAACCGGTGACGGAGTTGTTTCTGGTGCGGAAGAAGTAGAGACTGGTGTAGAAGTAACCGGTGACGAAGTTGTTTCTGGTGTGGAAGTAGTAGAGACTGGTGTAGAAGTAACCGGTGACGAAGTTGTTTCTGGTGCGGAGACAGCCGTGGAGGGACTTGGAGTGGTTGTTTCTTGCGTTGACGGTGTGGTTTGCTGTTCGGTTTGTGCTGGAGTTGTAGAATGAGGGGCAGTCGTAGTGGTGAAGTTCGTCTCTGAGGCTGTTGTAACGTTCGTCGTTGCTTCTGTTGCAGCATTGTGTCCCTCAACGGTCGTGGAGTTGGTCTGAGCCGGTATTGGCGTGGTTGAGGACTGGTTCCCCGCAAGAGAACTGATAGCAACATAGCTCGTCGTGTTTGTGATCCCGGAGAGGGCAGCAGAACTCGTGGAGTTCCATTCCGATGAGTTTGTCAGGTGCTCGAACGAAGATGCATTTGTTGACGGAAGGGATGTTGTTTCCTGACTAGCATTCGAAGAGTTCGTTGATGGAGATGACACTGCCCATCATAAGGAATCAGGAGAGCGGTGGTCTGACAACCTATCTCCAACACAGGGAAGGGAAGGAAGGACAGCAAAGAAAGAAGGAAGGAAGGCAGAAAAGCATTGAAAAGAAGAGAAAGAAACAAGAAGAAAGAAAAAGGCGAGGGAAGAAGCAAAGTCGAACTATCCAACTCACCAGAATGGTTCGTTCCGTTTGTCTGGTTGACAACAGATGTTGAAGAGTTGACTGTTTGCGATGAGGAGCCATTGATGCCTGTAGCTGTCTCGTTCCCGCTCGAGTTTGAAATGATGGAGGTTGTACCGACCTCAACAACAGAAGTTGATGTTTCTGACGCGTTCACAATGGAGGAGGCGTTTGACGTCGTTGAGTTTGTCAATGTAGAGTTCCAGTTAGTTGTGTTGGCGACGAGAGTCGTATTTGTTGCGTTGTCACAACAAGCCAAGAGAAGAGAACAAAGGAATAGAAGACACAGAAGGGGAGATGTAGGAATCGACAACATTGATCGTTGTCTGCAATATAATTGACGCGCCATCACCTGCTGATTGCAAAAGAGTTGTGTTCAAGCTCACTAGTCTGCTTGTTAAGTTGTAGTTCAGGTCGTATCACATGTCACACGATCTGCTCAAGATCTGCATGTGCTTCAACAAGGAGCATCAGGCTACAGAGGTCTTGTGAAGCCCTGGACTTGTCCATATCTGGCATGCAGGAGACGCCAGGTTTCACAGCTGGTCCATGTTCGCAAGACATGATCTGAGATTGCGATCTCCTCTCGACCTTGTTTCTGCTCCCTGATCCGAAAGGTAGCTTTCCTTTCCCTCCTGTTTCTGCAGGGACAAGAAAGTGAGTCTCAGTGTTGGTCGCCATGTCTCCTCCTAGACGATCGACGTCCTTCAACCAGATGCTTACTGATTGATATCCTTGATTGACCCTCGTGATTCAACCTCACCCCTCCTCTTTGTGTTCCATCGTATCCTACTGATTCTTCAATCTCTTCTAACTCGCGTCTACATGAACTTCATTCCATCTTTGACTTTCAACTTCCCCATCTCCTCCTATTCACTTTCGCGCGCCCTTTCCTCATTTCTTCTTCTTCCCCTCCTTCGGCCTTGCTCCTTGCTTGTCCAATGTTTATTCCACATTCTTCATAGCTTTGCATCCCTCTTATTGAGTCATTCCCTTCCTCATCATCCTGTCGTAAACTATCATGCTTGTTCTGTTTCTCCTAATTTCCATTTCCCCCTTTTTCATCATCCCTTCATCCTTTCTCGCCCTCCTCCCCCTGCCTCCTCCTGCCTCCTCCTTCCACCTCTTCATCCACTCTCCTGCTCTGTATCCTCCCCATTTCTCCTCCCTCCCTCCTCCCTCCTGCTCCTGCTCCCCCTAGCTCCTGCCCATTTCGCACAACTGCTGCCATTTTACCCGAAAGTTCGTTACTTTGGAAACCTCTCCCCCCTTACCCCTACCCCACAAACACTTACCCCCCTACCCCCCCTCGTTCACGTCCCCCTTCGCCTTCCCACCCCTACCCTTCACACAGTTCAACCAAAGTGACTGATTCGACCATCAGCTTCCCATGATCAACACCTTCAATGATTTTATATATACCTTACTTAGATAATGATATACTTTTGACCTTATCTTTCTCGCTCTTCTTCTATGACCCACCCCATCTCAATCTACCCCTCCTTATTCCTAATCGGTACCCCCACCCCTGGAACATCCTTGGCCGTGTACCCTCATCCCCCAAAAGACCCATCAAAGTTCTTGACCACCAACTGCCTCAGCGTAAAATGAGAACCCCCAGAGCGGGCCAACCCTTCAGTCACGCAGTCTGTCACGCCTCTGGTCACGCCTGCTACGATCACGCCCTGAGTCACTGAGAGTCGGCCCTCAGTGTCCGGGGCCCGGGCCGGCCGCTGGGTGTGCGACTAGGAGATTTGTTTTGGTCTCCTGCCTAGCATGTTGATGGTCCCTCAGACTTCAATGGCAAACACGAAATGTTTATGACCTCCTCCTGCTCCCCGCGCCCCCTCTCCTCCTCAGTCCTCATCTTCCTCCGAGGGCCTCCTCGTCCTCGTCCTCCCCCTCCTCCTCCATGCTTCTCGCCCTTCCTGGTTATCTCACACGAGGTTGAGAGAGCGGAGGAGACAGTCCAGCCTTTCCTCCGCCTCCTTCCGCTGCTCCTGAAAACCAGAGCATAAGTGATGATACTACAGTCCTTAGTAGCGCAGGGCGAACCTTGAACGTCGAGCTGCTGAGGATGCTCTCCTGAAAGTTTCCCACCTCCCCGATCCACCTGCCCGCGACCTGGACGACGAAACTTCGGCTCAGCACGAGGAGGAGCGAGGAGGAGGGAGGAGGAGGGATAGGTGGGAGGAGGAGGGAAGAGGGAGGAGGAGGCAGGAGGAGGCAGGAGGGTGTACCATGAGCCCTTGTATGCAAGGAGAGAGATTGGCGTAGCAGACGGTGCGTAGAGGAGCCGTGGAAGGCCAGAGGTTGGGGTGATCGCCATCGACAATGAGCAGGTTCCCGAGGGATCCCTCCCTGTGTAGAAGCGTGAGGAGAGGAGGGTGGAAGGGGGAAAGGAGAAGAGAGGGAAGGACTGGGGAGCATCGAGGGGAAAGCGTGGAGGAGGAGGGAAGGAGAAAACATGAAGGAGCAAGAGCCGGAGATGAATGAGAAGCAGGAGATGGAGGAGATGGAGCAGGGGCAGGGGCAGGGGCAGGGGCAGGGGCAGGGGCAGGGGCAGAGGCAGGGGCATACCTCAGCTCCCCCATCTTGACATGAGGATGCATCTGGCCCGCGTTTGATGACACAGTGGAAAAGAGCTTGCGCAGACTGTAAGCGGA